GCCCAGGGAGGCCATCCCCCTCATCATCATGGTGCATCGCTTCAAGGGTGTTTTCTTTTTAATCCTCACCCAAGGACACTTTCATTTGCTTTTTTAGAGAAAGAGAGGACGGGAGAGAGAAACGGTGTGAGAGAAGCACGGACCGGTTGCCTCACACACACACCCAGCCCGGGGATCTATCCGCACAGGGACTGGGGGTCAGGTCGCAGGCGCCCGGACCAGGGACGAACCCACAACCTAGGCTTGTGCCCTGATCGGGACTCTAACCCCGACCTTTGGTCCCAGGGTGATGCCCCAACCACTCGGGGCAAGGGTACTTGAGGTCCACGCAGGCCCTCCCCAGCGAGCAGGCCGCCATGGCCTCACAGCGAGGCCCCGAGCCAGGGGTGGGCTCGGAGTCGTGCTGAAGAGGAGGAAACGGGCTCAGAGAGAGAGGCTGGGCTGGGCGGCCTGCCCACGGCCGAACAGGAAGAGCTGTCCTTCAGCGCTGCTGCCCACAGGGGCGCTGGTCTGTGGTCTGGCTGAGGGTCCCAGCAACCCGGCAGTCCACATGGGGAGGGAAGGGCCTCTGTTTCTGGTCTGGCCACCCCGAGGGGCCCAGCTCCACGGGCTGTGCACGGACTCCATGAAGGAGGAGAAGGAGGAGGAAGAAGACAGTGTGGGCACCGCCCCAAAGTAATTTGAAGAAGGGAAACACTTCCTCTTTCCACAGATGCCACCGCCCCTAAAGGGCAGTCAGGGTCAGCCCTGGCCCATCCCCATGGGTACATGGCCCTGGGCACGGGGTGGACATAATGTCTCGGGCCTTGGCTAGTCTAAGAGGAGGACAGTCTTCCTTCCCTGAGTCCCCTCCCCCGGAACCCATGCTGGGAGCCTGCCCAGGAGGGGCCTGTGCATTATTAATGCTGCCAGATAAAAAGGTGAGGGGCCCTACTTTCATTCGAAACTCCATCCACTGTCTTTTGGCTGACTCCATTTTGGACCCCGGGAAAGGCCAACTGACAATACCTGCTCCCCAGGCTGTCCCTCCTACCGTCTGGGAAAAAGGAGGGAGGGAGTGGCAGGGAAAAGGAAAGAGAAGGGTAAACCCTCCACCCCCGCCACGTCTCCCCAAGGTCCCAGGTCCTAGGGCCATTCCCCAGTCTCCTGGCACACACAGTGAGTGTGAGGACAGAAAGGCCAGTCTTGGGGTTCCCGTTCCCTGATCCTCTGCTGAGTGCTTCCAGCTTCCCTGCCCCCAGCCCACAAATGGAAACAAAATAAGAACATGAACCAGAGGCCTTCACACGCTGTTCCTACAGTGTCTGTCTGGAGGTGGGGGAGGGTCGTCTGCTGAGCTCTGCAAGCGCCCGGGGCTGCAGCGGGCAGGTTCGGGGGTGAGGATGGGTGTGAACAGATTGCATCCGCAACTTCCAGGACAGGATGGAGATGCTCTCTCCCTCCAGCCCTCAGGATGCAAAACAGAGCAGAGGAGGCGAGGCTCCGGCCCGGGCTTCCTGCGCCCCCTATTGGGGGAAGGTGGGAGTTCTAAGGCAGAAGCCAGGCCTCAGCCGCGGCGGAAGGGGTTTCAACGTTGGCACTGCTCCCCCTGTAGGTCTCCCCGCACCAGGAGTGCCCCCCCAAATACCCTCCCAGGAAAGCCAATCTGGATGTTGAAAAGGCCGGGCCTTCCAGGCCCCTGAACCCAGGCATAAACTCCACTGGAGCCGTTTCCTCCCGCGTACACGCGGATGGCGTCGCCCTCCCAGGACTGCGGGGCCCGAGATTGGTAAACCAGAGGTTAAGTCCTCCCACACACTGGGTGCTCCACAGATGCTGGCAACCTGTTCTCTCCAACTCCCACCCGGAAAGGCCCGGGTCCCTTTCCACGGTCACGAGAGCGGCGCCCCAGCAATGGGACGGCAGTGACCCCCAGCACAGCGTGCAGCCGAGGGCTTGACGGGAGGACCTGGCGTAGATGCTCTGGCCTCGCCTCAGCCCTCCGAGGGGCTCCGGTCCCGCCTCAGCCCAGGAACCCGCCCACGGAGCGGCCCCCAGAGTAGTCGAGGACGGAGCCCAAACGCAAACCAAGCTGCAGGCACGGCCTCCCTCCCTGCGGAATGCCCGGGTGAGCAGCGAAAAAGGGCCTAGCTGATAAGAACTAAAGACCTTTCCCTCCCCAAACACACAACATAATCCACAGACCACGCCCCCTTCAGCACTGGGCGCTCTAAGTCACCACCAGCTCCAGCACTCAAGCCCAGCGACACCCTGTCCGCGGCTCCTCCGGATTTGGTTCCCCCCAAACACACTCAGATCTCCGATCCCACTCACCCAATATACACAAACCATTACCTCCCTTCCCCACACACACCCGGCCTTGACCTCCCCACCCCTAAAACACACACAACCCTGACCCTCTCCACCGCGCACACAGAATCCAGCCCTCCACAGTAAATACCAGCCCCCAGAGGGGGCTGAGCCCCGGGGCGGGGGAGGGGCCGGGATCCTGTACCATCTCTGGGACCTCCCAACTCTGGCTCCCTGTGAGACGAAAGCAGGACAAATACCCGCCCCCTCCGGCCACACACACACACACACAGTCACCTGGAGAATATTTATGTCACTCCACAGGCCACTGGGTCTCTAAAGGGTACACCCAAGACACCCAAGGTCCAGCCACCTCCTGACTTGGGCAGAGGGATGGGGAGGGGGGAGGGGGAGGAGGGAGCCTTAGCAGCAAGGATTCCTACAGAAGGGTGGTGGAGAACCGGAGCCCATCACTGCCCCCTGCAGGAATGGGGGGGCGCATGTCCACCTCTCCCAGGAGGTGCCTGAGCCCAGCGCCCTCCTGGAGCCGGGAGGGCGAGGCTGCCTCCATCTCCCACACGTGTGACTCCAATTTGTCCTGCTTTGACGCCCAGTGCAGAGAGCCTGGCCCGCCCCCAGACCCCGTGCGAGAGGCAGGGAGATGCCCCTGGTCCCAGAAAAGGGGAAGGTGAGGGAGAGGCTCAGAAGCTGTGGGTCAGGGTAGGGAGAGGTATTGTTGTTTACTAGGGAGGGGGGAGGGGCAGGGAAACCCACAGGCTCCCGCAGGGAGGGGGCAGGGAGGGGCATTGCCCAACCTGGGTGGAGAAAGCCAGAGAAGCCTCCGCTTGCCTGAAGTGGGAGCACCCCACCCTGGGGGAAAGGTTACCAGGGTGGGAAGTAGGGGACCCGGAAGCCCTCTCCACCCACCTCTAAGAAAGAGGAAGAAGCTTGCAACACGCAGAGGGCAAAGCACTCACTGCTCTGGCACGGGACAGGGCAAGGCTGGGGGCCAGGCCCCCGACCCCCGCCTGTGAGCCCAGGCCCCAGGGGAGCAGCGTGTCGGGGACGCTGTTCCCATCGCCAGGGGAAGGACAAGTTGTCCACAGGCACCGGGCTATGGCCCCCTGCTCCTCCCTCCCTAGAAAACCCCATCCTGGCAGAAAGCGGGCGCTCCAGCTACCCGGGTGGAGATATGAAGCCCAGTCCTTGTAGATGCAGCGACGACCCCACACGGCCACTCGGACCCCCAGCCACATGCGTCCACTCCCCAGCAACCCCAAACCCCGAAACCGGCCTCTCCGCCACCCGGCACGGACTGGAAGGCCAGGTCAGAGTCGGGCTCCTGGCTCCCAGGTCCCTCTGCCACCCGCCTCCCACCCTCCGTGAGGAGGACAGGAGAGGGAACAAACAGAAGACAAAGGTGTGGGGGGCGTGGAAGAAACTGAGGCAGCGTCTGACTGCCCCTCGCTCCGGGGCTCGCAATGGGGGCCTCAGGCAGCACAGACACAGAGCTCCCACTGCCAGCAGCTGCGGGGCCTGGGAGGCAGGGGGCCACCGCGGGGCCAGGGAAGGCGATCCAGGAAGCAGTGGTGGCGGTGGGCACCGGGCCAGTGCGGGCAGCAAGGCACCCAGCCAGGGCCTGCCCCGGGGACAAAGAGACTCCCTGGCTCTGGGGAGAGTGCACTGCCCCCGCGCCGAGAAGGGGGCACTGGCCCGGCCCCACCAAGGGCGCAGGGCGGCGATGCCAGGCAGCTTGCCAGCGGCTGTGGGAGGGGCGGTGGGCGCCGGGGGCAGGGTGTTCAGTCCCTGCCCACCAGGGGAGGTGGGACACGTTTCCCAGGTCAGCAACTGACCGGCCAGCCTGCCTGTCCACCGCCTATTCTGCTGCTTCCAACCCCCCTCCAGCCCCAGGCCAGGCCCCGGCTCCCTCCTCCCCCCAGCCCTGGCCGGGCGCCCGGCTGGGCCCTGGGGGCCAGAGTTACTGTAAGCGGCCTGGCAGGCCCGAGGCCTGGACTCTGCCAGCTGGCCATAGCCGCCGCCACCTCCCACTACCTGGCTCAGCCAGCCAGGGAAGGGTACTGAGACCCCCATCCAGCTAACAGGGGGACCCCCGCAGCAGAGAAAGGAGGCCGAGAGAAAACACAGGCCCTGCCAAGGGCGTGCGTGTGTCCGAAGCCAGAGGCCAGGCCCGGCACTCCTCCTGGGGCACGGCCCCGTCCTCCGGGCTGCGCCGGGGTCCCTCCCTCTCCCCCTCTGCACGGGGCAGAGCTGGCAGCGGGAGAGGGTCCCAGCAGCCTGCCCCTCTCCGCTCCTTCAAGCCCTTTCCCTCAGGGCACTGGGCGGGGGGCGGGGGGCGGGCACTAGGTGGGTGCTGCCCGGAGCAGAGCTGCCTTTCCCACCAAACGCTGAGAGGTTTGTTTACCCGCCTGCAGCCCCCGGGGCCCAGTCCCTGGGGCTGTCTGTGAGGCTCTCAATGGCCTCGAGGGGGGGCCGAGGAACAGCCTCAGCTCACCTCCCCCTCTGCGGCCCCCAGCATCAAACACAACCCCGGGACCACCGCGTCTCATCCTCGAGCCCCCCAGACAGTGGCCCCCCTTGTCCGGAGGAGACCTCACCACTGCAGCAGGACAGACAGACACGCCCAGAGGCCGGAGCCCGAGGCCTGCTGCCCCTCAGAGCTCCCCCACCTCGCCCCCCGCCACCCCACTTACTGGCTGGGGAGGGCGTGCTGTAGCCGCTAACCGGAAGCTGGTGCTGGAGAGAGGTCAGAGCGCCCGGCGGGGAGAGTCCACCCAGCATAGGGGGGAAGAAGAAGGCGTAGGGGGGCACCGGGTACCCATTGAGGTGCCCTCCCCCAGGTGTCGGGCAGGAGCTGCTGTTGCTGGCCATGCCAAGCAGCCACAGTCCGGAGGCAGGCGGACAGTCTGGCAGGAGACTCCGGCGGGCTTCAGGCCGCCCCTCCTTGGGGCATGGGGCCTGGGCCCAGAGGGGGTTTGGGTGGTCAGCCCACCCCCCCTTCTGTCCTGGAGCTGCGGTCCAAGGCTAGCAAGTTAATGTCAGCCTCCTGGAGCCCCCACTTTAGCTTGGGGCCAGGGGCTGGGGGATGTCCCAAGAGCCGGTCCTTCGGTCAAGCGGTTCCGTGAGCTGGCACTTTCCTGGGGAGGTCCAGAGCTGCCCTTCAGGACGCGGAAAAGGATGCCTCTCTTAGATGACCCCTGGGTAGGCGGCTGGGGGGGTCATGTCCCGAGACGCTGCAGAAAGAGGAGAGACAGGTGAGTGGGCACACGGGCATTCCCCGTGGAGCTCCCCAACCTGGGCGGCCGGAGATTTTCCCGTGGCACCCGGCTGAGCAGACAGCTGGCACCGCGCCTGGATGGCAGAGACAGCCTGGGAGCGGGGCCCAGACACTGCTGGGGGTGGCAGGACCGCACGGCCAGGCTGGGGAGACGGGGACAGAGCTCAGAGCCGCGGAGGGCCTCTCACCACAGCCCTGAGGGGAAGGGTCTGCTGCCCCCCCCCCACCCCCCCGTCGGGCTCCCCGCGGCACAGGCAGGCAGCTGCGCTGCTTCCCCCAGTGCAGGTTACCTGAGGTCAAGACGCAGAGAATGAGGGCTGGAGGGGTTGGTGGGGGGGAGAGGAAAAGCCGCTTCCCTAAAGCATTGGCACTTCTCAGAAAAATGACTCCTAAACCAGGGGCCCCTCTTACACCACTTCCCCCCCCCAAATCCAAGCCCCAGCACCCCACAAGGGCTTGTCCCACCGGCCAAGGGAGGAGGCCTGTTTACATACAAGAAAACAGGGAAACGCGAGCTGAGGGCTCCTGGGCATCACTCCCCACTCCCCGTGCTTAACAGCATGGAGGGCCGGTGGTCTGGCCAGAGGGCAGGGGCCCGCAGTGAAGGGGTGAGGGGGACTGAGCTCAGAGGTCACCCACATACTCTGTCTGCGAAGGCAGCATCCCCTGAGGAGCTGAGAGGTGGGGGCGGATGCAAGGCCAGAGCCGCCGCCCCCCCCCCACCAGTGTACACCGACCCACACCCTGTTTGAACAGCTGGGACCAGAGGCCACGCACAGATAAGCCCCTGGGCGGGGAGAGACAGCGGTGAGCCCCGAGACGCCGTGCCGCAGCGAGGCAGACGGCAAAGGGGGAGAAACAAGACGCAGGTTCACAAGAGGCTGCATTCAGGCTATGTAGAAGGATATACATGCAAGGATACATACCAACACATGCATGTATACATCCACAGAGCATATACATGAAAGACAAAAGAAAAGATAGACAGGGCCCTGGCTGGTGTGGCCCAGTGGACCGAGTGCCGGCCTGCGAACCGAAAGGTCGCCGGTTTGATCCCCAGTCAGGGCGCGTGCCTGGGTGCGGGTCAGGCCCCCAGCGGTGGGCGTGCGAGACGCAACGGATGGATGTTGGTGCTTCTCTTGCACATCGATGTTTCTCCCTCTCTCTTTCTCCCTCCCTTCACTTATCTCTAAAAGAAATGAAATCTTTAAAATAAAAAAACCAGGAACACTGCCAATCAAAACCACGTGAGATACCACCTCCCGTCCACTCGGATGACTATAATCAAAAAAGACTGATACTAACAAGTGCTGGCAAGGATGTGGAAAGACTGGGATCCTCATACGTGGCTGGTGGGAATGAAAGTCAGAACCGCAGCTCTGAAAGCGGGGTAGCAGTTCCTCAAAAGGTTACACGGAGTGATTCTGTAATGACCCGCAGCACCCTCACTGCTAGGGGTCTGCCCGACAGAGACGAAAACGTCAGTCCGCATGAGCGCCCGCGCGGCATCTCTCGTAACAGCCAAAACGTGACCCCAGGCGGCCACCCGCCGAGGAATGAACACAGCGCCGTATCATCCACGTGCCGGAATATTACTTTGCCGTCAAAAGGAACCGACCGAGTACTACACACACTACAACTACAATATGGATAAACTTTGAAAACACTGTACTTGTTCCGAAAGACCACACAGTGTATGATTCAATTTACACGAAATGCCCAGAACAGGCGATCCACACAGACAGAAAGCAGATTGTGGTTATACCAGGGACTGGGGTGTGGGTTTGAGGGAAATGGGAAGTAACTGCTGAGAGTAGGGGGCTCTTTCTGCAGCGAGGGAAATTCTCTGAAACGGATGGGGGGGGGGTGTTGCACAACTCTGAATATACTCAATCCAGCCCACGGCCCACTTCGATGGGTGAGTTTTACGGTACATGAGTTACATCTCCATAAAGCTGTTAAAAAGAAGGGACAAGGGAAGAAGGGAAAGGAAAAAAAAAAGACAGAGCCACAGAGACCCAAAATGAGGACAGTCCCCCTTTGCAGCCCCTTCCCCACAAGCTCCAGCCACACCAGGTCCCAAGCCTCAGGCTCCAGGCTCAGAGCCGGGGTCCAGAGCACACACACAGGCCGGGGAAGGGGGAGCTCCTGCCAAGGCTGCCGTGGAGGAGGCCCGTTGTCCCGTCCCTCAGCCCGCATCTGGCTGAGGGAGGGGGATGTAGGGACGGTACTTGCTAGGGAGGGGGCAGCTCTCCCAGGACCTTGTCAATGACCATGACTTTTAGGGCTACTAATTAGGACGACCACTGGACAACCTCTGTCCTCAGCCCCGACTGAGGTGCCCCCTTCCCTCCCCAGGCACCTGTGACTCCTTCCCAGGCTGAGGGAGCTGACGTCAGAGAGAGAGGGGCCCCACCCATCGGGCCAACTGCTGCCCTGGGCCCCCCACGCCCCTGTGGGGCCCCAGTCAACGGAACTCAGCCAAGGGAAGGGGGGGCTGACTGAGCCTCCTCAGCACCGACAGCCTCTCTCTCTCTCTCTCTCTCTCTCTCTCACACACACACACACACACACACACACACACACCACTCGCAGAAACATGCACACAGGTCTATGGGAACCGTCTGGGGAGGCAAGAGCGTGCCTGCACGCCCAGCCTGTGCGGGCGGCCTGCACGGGAGCAGAGGGAACCCAAAGACACCACCTCTGCACACCTGGGCCCCCCCACACACAGGGAGCCTGGCTCAGTGCTCGCACGCTCAGCCCCGGGGCGCAGCTCCCCACAGAGACACAGCCGCAGCCCCCACAGCCTCCCAAGGCGCATACGCCCTGGCCCTCCCACAGCCGGGCTGGCCTCTGTGCCCCCTCCCTGGGGACCATGAGCACCCAGCGGTACACCCTTCAAGAAATACTCTGGAGGCTTCCCGCCCCTACTGGGCGCCCGCGTCCCTGAGGGGAGGCCCAGACAGTCACTCACTCCAGGCCCCAGGCATCCGGACCCAGCTTTTGGGGGGTTGGGTGGGCTCAGTCAGTTGCCCCCACGGGAGACATAACTACAGTCGCCTTCATGCCGCAACTCTGCCCGTCAGGAGTTTGAGACTGGACCAAACTTCCCCCCTCCCCCCCAACAGACACACACCTCCGGGAGAGGCTGGAAGGTCGCTCGGCCTGACCCTGCTAAGCCTGCGAGCTGTGGTGCCAAGTCACTCGGCCCCGCGGGGGGGGTCCTTCGGCAGCAGGAGGGGGTAAAGATCACAGAGCCGGGCCGAGGGCCAGGCTGGCAGGAAAAGAGGGCTGGGCGAGGGCGTGGGTGGCGGGGACGGGGCCGGAGAGCACAGGCTCTGCCTCACAAGGCCCCTCTGCCCCGTGACCCTCCAGGAGACACCTGGGCCCCAGCCCCCCTGCACCCAGGGGCGGAGGAGACACCATTGCAGAATCGAAACCAGCACCGGAGAAAGGGAAAACAAACTACCCACATCCAACCTCCACCCTGGGCCCGCCACCTCCACTGCCCACAGGCACCCTCCCTGGAGGGAGAGAAAACCACAGGCCCACACCTCCATTCGCGCAGCCCAGACCCGGCCCAGCAGACGGGAGGGGGGCCGCCAGCCCCACACCCCTGCCCGCGGGGGGCCTCCCTCACCGAGGTGCCAGTGCCCCTCCCCAGTCTGGGGTCCGGTGTCCCCAGCCACCCATAGGTTGTGTTTCCCAGAGTCACACGGCGAGAGGAAGGGGCAGGGGCCGGCTGAGCCCCGGAGATGGGAGAAAGCAGCAGAGGTTTGATGGGTCAAATCTCAGCTCTGCCACTCTGGGTGACCTTAGGCAAGTCACTTAAACTCTCTAAGCATCTGTTTACTCGTCTGTGGACTGCCTACCTCAACAACGGTTGTGTGATTGAGGAGATAAAAGTCCTGGAAAGCACCTAGCAGGGTGCCTGGCAGACAGGAGGTGCGGTGCGGGGCGGCGGGGCGGGGTCCCCGCCCTCCCCACCCCTCTCGGCATCACCCGGCGGCGCCTCCCTTCTTCCCGACCCGGGTTAGTTAGCATCTGTGGACGGGGCAGGGCGGCAGAAGCGCCCGTTCTCCGGGGTCTGCCTCCCCCAGCCTGAGGTGAGGGATGTGGGGAGAAGGACACTCAGGGTGTGGGTGGAGGCCTGACCACAGCCCTCTCCCAAACTCCCTTCTTTCATTTCACAAACCAAAAAAGGGAAACCTCTGGATTTGGGGAGAGGAGGAGCGGAAGAGAAATTGACCATTTCCTCCCCCATCGTCAGCGGGGGAGACGCCAGGGGTCTGCAAACCCAGCTCTCCCAGCGAGACCCCCCCCCCCCCCCCGCCCCCGTCCTTCCCTCTCTCCTCTCCGCTCCGCAGGTTCCCCCGAAACAATGGTCCCCCCTGAGCAGAAATCAGGCAGTCCCAGAGAGACTGAGAGGAGGACATCAGGATTGGGGCGCTTAAAAGAAGGGGGGCAGGGGGTTTCCTAACAATTCTAGACAGTCAATGAATCATATGCAAATGATACCCAAAGCTCAAACTCAACTCGTGGGGGGTGTGGGTGGGAACTCTAGCCCTGGCAGAGACAAACACCTGGCCCCTTCGGACCCCCTGCCCTGCCAGGCGCAGGGTGGGGCGGGGCACATTTCAAACCAGAACAGAGGGCTGGAACTATTTATAAACTTTCCAGGAACATACACACACACATACACACACACACACACAGCCACAACCTCTCCCTTCACTCAGACTCCTCAGTCTGCAGGCAGGGCTTGGGGAGCAGAGATAACCACTACTCCTTTTTTCCAGGGGTCCCCTGGCTAAGGCTCTTACCCGTCTCCCCCTCATGCCCCCGCCTCCATGAGTCCATACTTTGGTGCTCTTGTGTACCTTCTGCTCGCCAGGGTCTGGGCTGCAGGAAGATCGACCCAAGAAGGTGTGAGAAGATCACAAGGACCAGGCT